GGAGATGATCTTGTTCCATTCTCTCATAAGAATAAATGAGATTTGAAGAAGCTGAGTAACTTGCTTTTTCAATTTCACACTTGAAAGTGTTTTCATAAGGAAGTTGGGGTTCTCTGAAGCACTTGGATGGGAGTCAGGGACTTGGGTTGTCCCAATTCTGTCACTAAATTTGGACACGCCACTTAACTTTTCCAGAATCCAGTTGCCTCAGTTCAAATATTAGGGAAATTTCTAAATGGCTTGAAAGGACCTTGTTAGCTTTAAAATTTTATGATTCTAAGTGCATACTGCCGGAGGTACGTAGCACAGAAGGACTCATTAAGATTATTGAAACTGTCTTAATAAAGGACATCTTTGTGTCTTGGGTAGCTACTGTGTTTAAAGACTGTGCTAGGTAGGAGTTGTACAGAATACAAAGGTTCTCCGGAGAGGGATAGGGTGTGTGCACAGATGACTCTACTAACCAGAACATTACTAGAAGCTCATTGGCATCACAGTATTTCTTGCTGAGGGTGTGAAACGTGAGAGTTCTTCCTTGGAATCTAAGGTTCTATTTGGGGCTTAAAGGATGGTCAGAGGTTGAGTGCAAATAATGTGGATTAAGATGGCTTTAAAAAAAATTGAATGGCTTATTTTAAATTGCTGAAAAGTAATTGCAGTTTTTGCCATTCCTTTTCATGACAAAAATTGCAGCTACTTTTGTGTCGACCCCCTAATATATTTGCATAGTTTATCTCTGTTATGGAACTTTTTATTGACAAGTAATGTAGATACTCACCTGGTCTAAGTTACCCTGAATCTTGTATTAGCAAAATCTGAATTGCTTATAAATAATTATGGCTATGTTGGAGGTAGAACTTCTTATTTGATAGTTTATGTATAATGCTAAGATCTAATGTATTTTTTACAGAGAAGCTAGGAACATGCTACAGCTGGTTGAAAAGCAAAAACTTGGCCGGGCGCGGTGGCTCACGCCAGTAATCCCAGCACTTTGGGAGGCCGAGGTGGGTGGATCACGAGGTCAAGAGATCGAGACCATCCTGGCCGACACAGTGAAACCCTGTCTCGAAAAAAATAAATAAATAAAAGAAAGAAGGAAAAGCAAAAACTTTAGCCATTCAAATAGTTTTGTCAACGAAATGGCAGGACTCATTTGATAACTGATTACTATCGACTGAATTGAGTGATTTTTTGCACTGTGTACATCTATACTCTAAGAAGGAAATTGAAAGTAATTCTGCTATACTTGTTACCACTATATTAATAACTGCCTCATCTAAAATAATTGGTAGAGCTCAGATTTATCCTTTGTAATAATTCTGGTACTTCTTTAAACATGTTTTGGGATTAGCAGCTGTCAACAGTTAGAGCATGAAACAGATTCTGTTACAGGAGTGGAAGGTGATCCAGACATTTAATGTCATTTTCACCTGTAAGTGAGAGAGAGAATAAAGAGAAAGAGAGATCATTATTTATGGGATTTTATGAACTTCAAGCCTGTTTTCATTAGGAGAAGCTGTGCTTTAAAGAACAATCAGGGACTACACTCATGAAATGTCTGAGCTGTAAAGTATTGCTTTATTTTTGAATTTTTGAACACTTGAAATAAAAAATGAGCTATGAATTATGTTCAAATTATATTATAAAAATTTGCTCTTAGCATTGTGCATATATATTATGCAGAAAAAACATAGAATAAAAAGAATAGACTTCAGTTCCATTTCAGAAAAGTCTTAAAATTTGAATACTGATTTTGGAAACCCCAAATGTGAAGAGTACAAGAAGCTTACAGTCTTCTCAAGGGACGCCTATTCAAACTCTGAAGTATGGTGATTAGGTACGAAGTGCAGAAAAGTCTGCTGATGCATGTCCTAAACCACCTTGGAAAAAAGAAGTGGTAGTTGCTTAAGGTAGGACTTTGCATGTTAAGTACCAGTTGAAAACAGAGGACAAGGATGGGGACTGTTGGCAGATGATGCTCCATGGGTCGTTTCTGTTTCTACACATCTTGTGAGCAGGGCATTGAGTGCCTACATTCTGAACTGCCTTTTCCATCATGTCTCTACAGCAAACAGTCATGGAAGATAGAAATAGAGTCTTCTCTGGAGCAGAGGACAGACATGATTGCTTCCTGAACTTCCCACTATAAAATATTCAGGCTCCGGACAGGTGCTGTGGCTCACACCTATAATCCCAGCACTTTGGGAGGCTGAGGCGGGTGGATCATCTGAGGTCAGGAGTTCAAGACCAGCCTGACCAACATGGTGAAACCCCGACTCTACTAAAACTACAAAATTAGTTGGGCGTGTGGCACATGCCTGTAATTCTAGCTACTCACGAGGCTGAGGTGGGAGAATCGCTTGAACCTGGGAAGCAGAGGTTGCGGTGAGCCAAGATCGTACCATTGCACTCCAGCCTGGGCAACAAAGGCAAAACTCTGCTTCAAATAAAAAAGTTCAGTCTCCCTAAACCCAGCTTCTTTTCCTGTAACCCACCATGATACAGATGTCACCTGACCTGTGGGAATTGGGGGTCAGGGAACCAACACAAATGCTGACTGTCTGGCTACTGTGACGGCTCTGAGTAATAAACTGTCCTTCATCTCCACCCAGGAGTCTCATGTTTTCTACCAGCAGGCTAACTTGTGGCACGGTAACGTGTTAGTTTGCAAGTAAGGTAAAAATCTCAGATCCTTTGCAGTTTGTGGCAGGGATTATATTCTGGGAGAGAGGAACAGTATGCACTGTGGCTCACAGGCATGAGACATCACATTTTATATGAGGAACCGTAACTAGTTCTCTATCTTCAGAGCCAAAAGGTACATGAAGGCAGGCATTTTAGGGGAGAATATGAAGTTGGAGCTATAGACAGAGCCAGATTCCTGAGAGACCTGATATGCCATGTAGAAGGGTTCAGATTGTATGGGGGCAGTTATTAGAGAATTTTTAGCAGGGGTGTGACATGATATATTTTGTTTTAAGTTACACCAGGAAATATGTGACAGGTGGATTGAAGGATGAGGCACCTTTTCTCCAGGTGAGAAAAATAGAGTGAGATGGTGGCGTCAGTTAGAGGTAGTAATAGGATGAAGAAGGAATCTTGAATGACCCCTTGGCCATTCAGTGAATAGTGATGCTATTCACCTAGATACAGTCTATAGAAGGGAAGTGAGATTCTGGGAAGGAGGAGGTGAGACTGAGTTAGCTTTAAAATAACCAAATTCAGGCCTACAAGTCTATAGCTATCCAGATAGAAATATTTAATGGCCTATATGGATCTGGAACTCAGGAAGGAGGCTTCCATGGGAGAAGAACACTTGGGTACCATTAGGGTGTATGTGGAAGATGCATTCTTGTGCAGCATTCAAGAGGATGGACTTTAGAGTCAAGTGCAAATTGCTCCCCAGTTCCCTGTGATAAGTGACTCAAGCTCTCCAGGTTTCTGCTTCCTAGGTCATAATAGTGGGCTCTAGCAGATCAGGCTGTTAGGAGGATTAAACATGAGACAACATATGCAAAACCAGAGCATGCATCTGTCTGATTCACTCCTCTCTCCCTTGTGTCTGCCATGGTGCCTGACTCAAAGTAGGGGTTCAATCAGTATTTTAAAAGAATAACTGAGGGGCTCAATAAGTATTTTTAAAGAATAAATGAGGTCTCTCCAATTAAAAAAAAAAAAAAGACATTTCCTTTGATTTCAGACTTCCCTTGGCTGTGGCTTTCTCTTCCTTCCCTCTGAGGGAAGGTCTACACTGACTGTCTACACTTCCTGTTGACCATCCATTCCTGATTTGTAAGACCTGGTTTGCACTAGAGATCAGCTGAAACTCTGTTAAGCTTGCCCAGGTCCCCAGGGTTGTAAAATTTAAAGAGGGCTATTTAGTCCCTGACTGCCTCATCCTCTCTGAATTTCTCAACCTTGGCCACTCCTTCCTTCTTGAAACTCTTCTGATTCTCATCTTAACTTTCTGGTTGTTTCTTTTCACATACTTCGAAGACTTTTCTTCCTGTGTTTGACTTCATCCTTTCCCTTCCTTCCACCTGCTGTTCTGGACAATCTCACCTAATCTTTTGGTGTCAACCACCACATTCTGATCATCCTGTTGCTGATGACAGCAGGGTGTCATCAGGCCAAGGTAGGTGGATCACCTGAGATTAGGAGTTTGAGACCAGCCTGGCCAACATAGTGAAAACCATCTCTACAAGAAATATAAAAATTAGCCTGGCATGGTGATGGGCGCCTATAATCCCAGGTACTGGGGAGGCTGAGGCAGGAGAATTGCTTGAACCAGGAAGGCAGAGGCTGCAGTGAGCTGAGATTGTGCCACTGCACTCCAGTCTGGGCAACAGAGTGAGACTCTATCTGGAAAAAAAAAAAAAAAAAGCTTCTACCAAACCCAAACCCAAACTTCCTCGACGACTGCATTTCCCTCTCTATTTTCTTTATTTCTTTTTTTGAGACAGAGTTTCCCTCTGTTGCCAAGGCTGGAGTGCAGTGGCACAATCTCGGCTCACTGCAACTTCCATCTCCTGAGTTCAAGTGATTCTCCTGCCTCAGCCTCCCAAGTAGCTGGGATTACAGGCATGTGCCACCATCACCTGGCTAATTTTTAAATTTTTTTTAGTAGAGATGGGATTTCACCATGTTGGCCAGGCTGGTCTCAAACTCCTGGCCTCAAGTGATCGGCCCACCTCAGCCTCCCAAAATGCTAGGATTCCAGGCATGAGCCACCGCGCCAGGCCAGGAGGCTTATATTTAACAGTTTCCCAGTGGCCTCTTTGGTACCTGTAATGAGTGTGACAGTTATGCCATTACCAGGTTTTATATGGAATACAATTTTGAGAAAGCTCTTTCTAGGCAGAGGAGCTTATTTGAACCAATATTCACCTCTTCTTACATTTGGGTTTCAGGCTTTTGAGTTGTTCTGAAACAATAACCATTTGAAGGTAGCTGTTGATATGACTTCATTAAATTCGAATGCCTCTGGTTTTCTCCCCCAGGTTTTTGCAGATGAAGTATGTGAAATAGATTGCTTGGTCCAAAACAGAAAAACAGTGGCAGCTGCTTTGCTGAGTGCCCAGACCCTTCCCAAGATGGAACCAATAACATTCACAGCAAGGAAACATCTGCTTCCTAATGAGGTCTCAGTGGACTTTGGCCTGCAGCTGGTGGGCTCCCTGCCTGTGCATTCCCTGACCACCATGCCCATGCTGCCCTGGGTTGTGGCTGAGGTGCGAAGACTCAGCAGGCAGTCCTCCAGGAAGGAACCTGTAACCAAGCAAGTCCGGCTTTGTGTTTCACCCTCTGGATTGAGATGTGAACCCGAGCCAGGGAGAAGTCAACAGTGGGATCCCCTGATCTGTTCCAGCATTTTTGAGTGCAAGCCTCAGCACGTTCACAAACTGATTCACAACAGTCATGACCCAAGTTACTTTGCTTGTCTGATTAAGGAAGATGCCGACCATCGGCAGAGCATCTGCTACGTGTTCAAAGCCGACGATCAAACAAAAGTAAGTTGAGATGGGAATCCAAAAGATGAACGTGTGGCTGGCTAGTTTTTAATTGCATGAGGGTCAAGAAATTTATTTTAAGTATACCGAAATGAATAAGGAATTCATGCTGCAGTTATAAATTGATTACTTTGCTGAATTTTTGGTTTATGGTGATCGTTGATAGTTTTGAAGCACATTTGATAATGGATATGAGAAATGACCAGTTTTTGAGTTCAAAAATTCAAGAGAAATAGATCTAAAACTATTAAATAAGAGCAGAAGTGTTAAGATGCACATTATTTTGGATGAATGTTCTAAAGCAGTGCTTCTCAAACTGAAATGTGCTTGTGAGTCACCCGGGGATCTTGTTAAAATGTGAATCTTGATTCAGTAGGTCTGGGGTGGACCCCAACACTGCCTTTGTAACAGGCTGCCAGGAGATGCTGATGCTGCCCTTTTGCAGGTTGTACTTTGAATGGCCAAGTTCCAAATCTCCACATTTGTAACCCTATTAAGAAAAATACAGTTTTTCGTAAACTGCAAGAAAATACTACTGGCCAGTTTCCCAAGGTATAATGTTCACTTAGGCAAAGGCCATTGATAAGAACAGTGGATATGCATCTAAATGTTGATGCTATCGGGGGTTCTTTGTGTTTTTTTGTTTCGCAAACCTCACATCAGATCTGATTAGCTTGTTATCTCATGATGTGGCTATAAAAAATGTATGAGACATGGTAAAAGCTCTGTTCTTTTCTTGTTCATTTGTGCTTGCTTTGTTATTAGCATTAATTGTGGTTCTGGGCAGGGCTCGTTTGAAGCTGCTTGTCTGTTTTATGAGGATTAGCTTAGATAAAATTGAAAATATAATTCAAATAGCCACTTTCTCAGTTGGGCTCAGGGCACCACAGCTAACCCCATGGACTGTGGAGTCTCGCTGTTATTTTGGGTGCCAAGGAAGACAAGTCACATATGATTCAAACTGTCAGCCACATGTACGGGCGGGGATGCCAGTGTCAATCCACATGTTAACTGTCAATGAAACTTTGAAAGGTTCTTATATTTTCAAGTTTAAAATCTGAATAGAAACACTGAAATTTTCTCTCTGGACTCCATTAGGTTATTTTGTATACTCTTTAGGGTGTAAGAACCTTATTTAGAAATTAATGTTCTTGGTACCAAGTAGAGGCCTTGTTGTTTGTTTGTTGGTTGGTTCTTCTAGTCATTGATTCAGAATCGCAATTGCAGGTACTGTTGGAGATGATATTAGCAGAGGCTTGTAGGAGGGCAGGAACATCAGTGGGGAATAGGACCACGTGATCCATGCACAAGACATGACGGAAGGACTGAGAAGGGAGCCTAACACACACCCAAAGTGTAGAGAAGGCTTTGTGAAATAAAGACTAATATGGAGCTCAAAACCACAATTTCGCTCACAGAATCAAACTCTCATATTATAAACCATTTCATCAGGCTTGGAGATTCAGAGGGACTAACTTCCTGTATTCTAATCCTACTTCTACACCCATAAACTGGGTGGCCTCAGGCCACTGAGTCTGTTTTCCTATCTATTAAATGGGGATAATCTCAGTCTTTGTCCAATAGAGTTGTTGGAAAGACTAAATAACATAGCACTGGACCTGAAACTTAGTAAGCATTTCTAGTCATGAAAACATTTTCATCCAAGAAAATTTTACTAGAGGCAGATTATATGCTAATTTCATTTCAAGTCTCAGGATACCTAGATGAGGGTCTTCAGCTCTCAAAGAGGAGATTCTGGTCATCTTTGAGGAACATTTTAAAAACTACAGCTATAACTGCATGGTCCCTATTATTTGGACAAATTCCAGAATGAAAATGAGAGGACTGAATAGCCTGTACCTCAGTCCAGCTCTATATAGCATTTGGACTGAGTTTCCTTGGGGAGAGTTTTTGCATGGAATCATTGTTCAGCACTCTACACATCTGACTCTTTCCCAAAATCTTTTACAGCCATCTGAGAACAGACTTCTGGCCAGTCATTCAGATGCCTGAGAAGAGAAAGAGATTTATAACCAAATTCTGTAATTGGGACTTCCAGTCTTTCCCAAAGTAGAGAATTAGACTAACTCTATATTCTAAAAAGCCATGGTTGAAATGTGAATTAGTTCTTAAGTTATTTTTGGCTTGCATACCATTTTTGCAAATACAAATTGTGATTACTCAGAGTATAACTTGCTGTCATTCTGTGCCTTTTATAAAAGAATAATTTGTAACATAGGTACATACCTCAATCGGTGAGTTCGTTGCTGGAAACAGAACAGTAAATCACGTTGGCCATGATGCTAACGGCATGATAGATTTTCTGTTCTTGGGACATCACTGGCACTGTATCTCATAGCGACGGATTATCTGCTGTAGGAGCATGTTAACCTCCATTTTCTTGACTATCTGTAACATTTGCTGGGTGAAATAATTCTCCAGGTTAAGGCCTCTTCTAAACGGATGAGGTCAGCATCAACTGCGTTTGCCAGAGAAGACATATGCATTTATTCCAGCGTCATAAACCCAGAACTACAGTTTGTGAGGAAACCCTTTGATCAGCATCTAATTAATTCACTGAGAAATGTCTAGGGAGAAGAGGCATGTAAAGGAATCATTTTATAAGCACACTATGAGATTGTGTTTTCCATAGTATGTTCCACAGAATATGAGGGAACTTCAAAAAGTTTTGTGGAAAAATAGAATTAAAAAATTACAAACATATGTATGTATGTGTGTGTGTATATATATATATGCTTTATTTCTCATAAACTTTATCAAGTTCAAGACACTTTTGTAAGCAATGATAACAGCCATTGAGTTTGTCCCTAAAGAACTGAGGGTCCTGGGAATTTAACCATGTTTATGCAGTCTTATATTATTAACTAAAGAATAATTGGTGCTCTTTAAAGATTTTTTTAAATGCAGAAGCAAAAAGAAGTCAGAAGGAGCCAAATTAGGCCTGTAAGGTGGATGCCTAATGATTTCCCATGGAAACTCTTGCAAAATTGCTTCTGTTTGATGAGGGGAATGAGCAGGAACATTGCTATGGTGGAGAAGGACTCTGGTGAAGATTTCCCAGGCATTTTTCTGCTGAAGCTTTGGCTAACTTTCTCATAACACTCTCATGATAAACGATGTTATTGTTTTTTGGCCCTCCAGAAAGTCAACAAGCAAAATGCCTTGAGTATCCCAAAAAACTGCTGCAACGATTTGCTCTTGACCAGTCCTCTTTTGCTTAGACTGGACCACTCTGCTCTCAGTAATCATCGCTTGAATTTGGCTTATCTTTGGGATTGTGCTAGTAAAACCATGTTTCATTACCTGTTACAATTGTTTGAAAACATACTTCAGGATCTTGATCCCATTAGTTTCAAATTTCCATTGACTCCGGGTGTGGTGGCTCACGCCTATAGTCCCAGCACTTTGGGAGGCCAAGGCGGGCAGATCACGAGGTCAAGAGATCAAGACAATCCTGGCCAACATGGTGAAACCCCGTCTCTACTAAAAATACAAAAATTAGCTGGGTGTGGTGTCATGTGCCTGTAGTCCCAGCTACTCAGGAGGCTGAGGCAGGAGAATCCCTTGAATCCGGGAGGCGGAGGTTGCAGTGAGCCGAGACTGCACCACTGCACTGCAGCCTGGTGACAGAGCGAGACTCTGTCTCAAAAAATAAATTCCATTGAAAACTCTGCTCTCCTCCACAGCTTATCTGGGAGCGATGGTTTTGGCACCCATTGAGTGGAAAGTTTGCTTAGTGTTAATTTTTCAGCCAGGATTATGTAAGCTGAACCAGCAGAGATGTCTATGGTGTTGGCTATTGGTTTGTGCTATTAACTGTTGGACTTCTTCAATGAGGGCATGCCAAGCTTAATTTTTTTCCTCAAAAAATTATCTGGATGGTTGGCTGCTGCAGGCTTCCTCTTCAATATTGTCTCATCCCTTCTTTTCTTTTTGAGACAGTCTCAGTCTGTCGCCCAGGCTGGAGTGAAATGGAGCAATCTCAGCTCACTGCAAACTCCGCCTCCCGAGTTCAAACAATTCACCTGCCTCAGCCTCCCAAGTAGCTGGGATTACAAGCATGCACCACCATCCCGGGTAATTTTGTATTTTTAGTAGAGACGGGTTCATCATGTTGGTCAGCCTCGTCTCAAACTCCTGACCTCAGGTAATCCACCCATCTCAGCCTACCAAAATGCTGGGATTACAGGCGTGAGCCACCGCGCCCAGCCTGTCTAGAACTTTAATAAAATTTTTAAGCAGCTATGATTCTGTACCTTCATGCATCGACAATTTGGAAAATATTGGTTCATGAGTTATGCATACTGCACTCTGAGAACTGCTCTCCTAGGGAAACACTGTGTTTTCTATTCTCCTCGAGTTGTACATTAGTGCATTAAAAACTCTGATAATTCCTGTAGCAAGACAAACTGTTTAACCTTGTTTAGATTAATTTCCCCAAACGTATGAAACCAAAGGTTACATTTTCTCCTAGCACCCATGAACGTCGCTCAGAATGTGTGAACACAGTCACATAACGTCCTGGGTTAAAATGCAGTGCTGAGTTTGAGTCCGTGGTAAGTCAATGAACATATCCACTCTGGAAACTGATGGCAATGAGTGACCGTGACTAGATCTTTACCTCATCACACCCCAAAGAAATCAAGAGTCTGCCCAGACTCAGACCTAGAAACATTGTCAAGCCTAAGAAAAGCATCTCGGGGTTCTTCTCTCCAGTTCTTCAGACTTGCCTCTTCTACAAAATCTCTACTCAGAAGGACATCTGATCTGCCCCTCGTACTGACTGTCACTTTAGATCGTTCATAAGAGTATTTGCATTCTTATCCTTTTCTTTATCCGCAGAGGAAAATGCTCTGCTTCCTTTAAAGAGACTTTCCAGCACTGAGGAGCAGGGAGCAGAAGTGTTGGGCTGGGGCTTCTTACACTACATGATGCTGTTTTACATAAGTCAAAGGAAAGGGGATTTTGAATGGGAAATG